GAAAAAAATTCTAGACACGATGGCAAAAAAATATATCACTTTTATTAACAATTTACATGCAAAACAAAACTAAAAGAATGGTATTTGGTATGATAACTTTTTTTAAAAAATTAAAATTTTTTAAAATTTTCTTGCAATGGGAACAAATTCTAGACCCGATAGTAAAAAATTGTTACTTTAATTGACAATTTTCATGAAAACTAAATTAAATAGATACCAAACTTTCAACATTTTCTATGTGGAAAATTATACCAATCAAACACAATTAATTACAATTCACAATAAAACAAATTCTAAACAATTCAATTTCTTGTAATCCATTTTCTTTTTATCCAAATTCCACATTTACAATTAAACGGACCCTAATAGTTCTCCTTTTTCTCAAGCGTAATGAACCATCGACATATCCTTTGATTGAGTTGGACCCGTTCCAGTTGAAGAAATCGAGAACCAACCATGAATGCTACGGTCTTAAAAGAATGAAATTATATGTATAATAAAGAGTAATGTTACGTGTACATAACCATTCATATAATAGTTTACATAATTACATGTGGCATGTGATCCAACCTTTAATTCAAATTTCATACTTACACATCAACAAGTGGATGATTGCTACGTTAGTATTATGTGAATCATTACGTGAGTGGTTATGTACACCTAGCATTATTCATATAATAAATGGTAGGTCGAAGACATGGATGCCACAGGGGATAGGTCTGGGCTCCTCATGCCCAATAATTTTGTAAGGGGAATTTTCATTAAATCCTATTTTTTTTTTTTTTTAGTGGAAGTTAAGTATAAGAATAAAAGTACAAATTTGTCCCCTAGATCCGTCCCTAAATTTACCCGTATTATATTAAATTGGATAACCATAAAAGACAGATATAATTGAACGTCATTGCTTTCATCGACTCTAAATGAATTTTGTACATAGGATAGGAAAATGTATTACAAAAGACTGAAAATTATAGCATTCATTCTTTATTCTATATCTATCATGAGCATGGCTACAGATTAAAAGACATGCTACAGGTGTAGGAATTCAAATTCCTGTACATGCCGAACACTCACAGCAGGGGTGGGTGGGGTTTTTTTGTCAATATTTTAATTCACATGAGGCCACCCTATGAGAGTAAAATTCAAAAATCTGTATTAATTTTATTGTTTTTTTCCTGTAGTCAAAATCAATTTTCACATATTAATGGTTTATTGTAGACAGCATCTGTTGATTCTCTTTGTCCTCAGCCACAAGCACACGTGTTATATGAAAGAT